ATTCATTAATTTACTTTATTTTATAGTTTCATGCACGCTCATCCTAAACTATTTATTTTGGAACAAACATCAAAGCGTTAGCGGTAGAAGTTATAGCTGCTATTTCGGAGATCACCACATCTCCTCATCGGACTTCTTTTTCTAGACTTCGGCAGGGATCGAACCCGCATCATCGATGTACTGATCCGTGCTGACGTCTAGAAAGAGAAGTATGATGAGATGTGGTGATCTCCGAAATAGCAGCTATAACTTTTACCGCTTACACATTGTTGCTTTTTCCATTTTTCCATCACATAGGTTAGGTTAGGTTAAACGGGCAGCTCTGAAAGAGTTCATTCGGAGGCCGCAGAGGCCCATTGTGATGCCCATGGGGGTTACCCCAAGCCTATCCCTACATGTCTTCGAACCCTTTTTGATTTTCTGGCGAATCCTAGCCGTCCTTCCAGAGGAGCTTTCCTCAAGATATCCAGATTCTCGAAGAAGTGGTCCCCAAGAAACTTGAGGCGTTTTCCTCGAAGTGCTGGACACTCGCCAAGGAAGTGCTTGGCGGATTCTAACTCCTCCTCATCCCTGCAGCTTCTACAGAAATCATTATGCGGGGCTCCGAACCTGGCGGCCATGTGGCCAATGGTCCAGTGTCCCGTTAGTATTCCTGTGAGAAGCCTGGCGTTTGACTTTGAAAGCCTTAATAGACTCCTTGTTCTTCGTTCATCGAGCCGTGGCCAGAGTGATCGCGATACCCTGCAGGTGTGAAGGTTTACCCACCTACTGTTGGTAGCTGCCCTGGTCAGTCTCTAGACTTCTGAAGACAGAAATCGCATGGGGGGTTTTACGATTTGAGTCGCTTCCCCGAGCCCCATCTCAGATCCCTTCCTAGCACATTCGTCCGCTTCCTCATTTCCCTGGACCCCACAATGTCCCGGTACCCAGTAAAGATTGATTGTGTGTTGCTGTAGAGCTTGTAGGGATCTTCGGCATTCTTTAACACATAACGAGTTAGTCGTTGCCGACCCTAAAGCTTGGATACCCGCCTGACTGTCAACAACGAAGGCAAGTTTAGATGGAGCTAAGTCAATCATGCCCACCAACCTTGCCGCCATATGGATTGCATATATCTCAGCCTGAAAAACACTGCAGTGGTATAGGAGTCTATACGACTCCCTCATAGATAACTCCTGAGAGAAGACCCCAGACCCTGTTCCGATATCCATTTTGGAGCCGTCCGTGAAGATGGGTATTTCGTCATCGCTGAGAGCAATATTAAATTCCCAGTCACTTCTGTCAGGAAAAAGGATATAGAAGTTTCGATTGAAGTCAATTTCCGTGACCTGATGGTCACAGCGGCTGTATTCCACCCCCACTCTGCCGAGGATTGTGGGCTGACCTTTGCAAGTTGTTCGCAGCCTGTTAGACGCTCTGAGTCGTAGAGCGCTTTTAGCTGCGATACTTTTAACATATAGGTCTATAGGTGGAATATCCAGCAGGGTCTCTAGAGATGCCTGGGGCGTTTAATAAATCGCCCCCGTTATGCATAAGCATGATTGTCGTTGCACCTTTTGCAAGTTGAGTAGATGGGATTTGGTGTCAACCGCCTTCCACCATACCAGCGCGCCATAGGTGAGGATAGGACTAACTACCGCCGTATAAATCCACGGTATTATCTGCGGTCGCAGACCCCAGTATTTTCTAACAGTAGCTTTGCAGGAGTAGAGCGCCTTCTTTCTCCGCTCTTCGGTGTTCCTTTTCCAGGAAAGCTTAGATTCGAGAATAACCTCCAAAAACTTTGCTTCTTTTGACAATTTGAGATTTGCTCCATTGAGGGACGGAGGTCGGAAATTGTCTATTTTATATCGCTTGGTGAAGAGAACAAGTTCGGTTTTAGTGGGATTGGCCCCTAGGCCGTTTCTTTCTGCCCACCCTGACAGATCGTTAATTGCAACGACCTTAGCGGCTTTCGATGTACGAAGCAGGAATTCGTTTAGCACGAGGTTCCACAGTAGGGGGGATAGCACCCCCCTTGAGGTGTGCCCCGTGTGGCTGTTTTCTTTACTTCTGATGTTCCCAAGGAGCCATTGATGTTTCTGGTGCTCAACATATTGTCGATCCAGAGAGTGATCAATGGGTCCAGTCCCACAGCCACCATGGAGCAGTGTATGGATGCCAAATTAACATTGTTAAAGGCGCCCTCCACGTCCAGGAAGGCTGCCAGCGCATATTCCTTGTGATTCAGTGCGTGTTCTATACTCCCAACAACCTCGTGCAGGGCTGTTTCAAGCGTTCGGTAGGCATGCTGAGCCTCGCAGGAGTAAGGCGTCGCGTGATCTGCAGATCGTTGTAGCACGGCTGGAAAGATCCCATCCCCTCCCGGAGATTTGTAGAGTTGGAAGCATCTGATAGCCCAAGCTACTTTGTCTGTAGTGATGATTTCGTCCACTGGACTGCCTTGCCTGTGGGTACTAGGGTGTTCTGTCACAGGAGTTTCTGTGTCCCCTGCGTCACCGCAGCCAGGGAAGTGGACGTTCATAAGGTGTTCCAGTGTTTCAAGGCTGCTTTCGGTGTGCCCTCCTCCTGGCGTTTTAAGAAAACCAGGAGGAGCCGGGTTTTTCGAGAGGTACCTTCTTAGTCGCGCGGCATCAGTAGTCGTTTCGAGGTCCTCGCAAAATTTGGACCACGAAACCTTCTTTGCTTTCTTTATCTCTTTCTTGAACGCATTGAAGTTGCGACGATATTCGTCCCAGTCCTCCGCGTTCTTAGTGAACTTCGCTTTATTGAAAGCTTTCCTAGCTGCTATCCTGAGCCGCCTTAAATCGGCCTTCCACCACCTTGGGTGTCGCTTAGGTTTGCTCTCGGGACAGGTTGTTATGTAACATTCGTTGAGAGACTTCGTTAGACAGAGGACCGCTCCCTCCAGTTGGTCCGCTGAAATTGGGTCCACCGTGTACGGTGGACTCGCTCCAGACATGAACTGGCTGAATTTGTTTCAATTTTCCTACGAGTATTTCGATAAGGTTTTAGTGTCGGTCAGCTTAGGTTAATGGAGAATACGATGCGACAATGATGAGAAAATGATCATTTTGTCGCGACGTGCCAGCCGTCAACCCTAACATTGTTCGAGTTAGTTACAAGAGTTATATCTAAAACCTCCTCCCTTATTCTATTGTAGAAAGTGGGTTGATTACCCTTGTTACAGATAGTAAGTTTTGTGGATAATAAGTAACTAAAGAGTGACTCGCCTCTATCGCTGATGTTCGAGCTGTTCCACGCCGTGTGGTAAGCGTTGGCGTCATAGCCAGCCACCATATTGATCCTTCATTGCTCCGCCCAGGCGGTGAGTTTCCTGAAGGATATTGACGGGGGATCGGGTACATCGTATGGCATGTATAAAGATGAGAGGATGAGGTCGGGTGCTCCCCTCTGCACCAACATTGCCACTGTCATGTGCGAATCGCTAAATTGGGGAAGAAAGAGAATATTAGTGCTTTTCTTAACCAGAATACAGCTTCTAATTTTACCTTCGGTCTGTGGGGTGAGAAGTAGAAAGTCGCTAGTGGATAGACCTGTGACCCTCCCCGCCACTAGCCAGGGTTCTTGTATTAGGGCCACGTACACATCTTCCTCACCCATGAAGAGCAGCAGATCCTCCGATGCTGCCCTGCAGTGATGAAGATTAATCTGCACCACCTTTAGGCTTTTCGGATTCTCTTTCAGCATCGGGGATGATCACCCTAAGGTGACCGATGCCATATCTTACAACTCGCACTGTCGTACGGGATGGCACCTCTGAGAGCGGAACCACTTTTAGTCGTGCGTTGGCCCAAAGTTCATCTTGGTTGCGGACTCAGTTTGTTAGGAAGTCTAACGACTCCTTGTTACCGCATCCAACAACTTTGACTCCCTTCTGCCACTTGGCATCAAACCTACCAATGTTGTTGTTTTTGGTACGCTGCATTTCGCCAAGTAGTGCCCTCATAATCTTTTCTTCCAAGAGCAACCATTTTTCCGTCGGAATCTTGCCTTCCGGGTGATTCCGGTCTATGATTACTACCTGGAGCTCTGGTGCTGAGCATAAGGTCGATGAAGTTTTCACCCGCTTCTGCTCAGGCTATGTCTTCTTGTCGCCAGACAGTTGTCTCTTCGGAGTGCGTGCAACCGGTCCCTTACCACCGGAGGCAATAGCAGCTGCCGACGTCGAGGCCTTCTCCCCGTCCAGCCGTGGGAACACTGGCCTCGCGGTCTTCGGCACCTTGGGCCTCAGTGATTGCGACGGCTTGTTGTCTCCAACAGCGGACAGGGTAGCAGCTTTCTTCGTCGGCAGACTGCTACCGCCCTCAGAGGGGGGTTTGGTTACAGCGTCCCTTTTTTGGGAGTTGGTGGCTTTTCCAGAGACCGCGGCCACACTTCCGGAAGCATTCGAAACTTTCTCCTCGCGGAGTCCCTTATACTTCCGAACAATGTAGGCATGCTTCTTTTGAAGAGCCTTGTCCCTTGGTGTTAAAGTGGCGGGGTCGCGCTCTCGCAGTTTCGCGAGGAATCGACGAGAGCTTTTGTACCCCATCTTTCTCTTCCGCTCTTTGTCCTTCTCCTTGTCGGGCTTGGCATTGCCTTGAGGCTCCTTAGCTCCTTCGGTCGCAGCCGGTCTCTCAGAATCATCAAATCCCAGACTGAGCTGGCTCAGTGCGAGGGTATCTGCCCAGTCGCGATCCTCCTCATCTGAGGAGTCTAGCACATAGCACATAGTCGTGGTACAAAGCTCAGTAACTATACTGAAGTAAATGTTAATAAGCCACAATATATTCACACAAAAAAAATTATTGCTTTATTATAAAAAAAAATCGGAAATTCCTCTGTCACGGGTGGGGCAACGTGTGTCACGGGTAGGACACGTACGAATTTTTTTATGAAAATTAGTTTTTAGTGTGCTCTATATTAAAGACCACTGTGGTGTAATGTTAAGCAGTGCGCGCTTCCACTCCGCATCACTTTGGTTCAAGCCCTGGTCAAAGCAACATCGAAAAAAATATAGAAAAAAGGTTTTTTCTTAACAGCGGTCGTCCCTCGGCAGGTAATGGCAAACCTCCGAGTACATTTCTGCCATGAAAATCAGCTTCTCATAAAAATACAATCGCCGTTCGGAGTCGGCGTAAAACTGTAGGTCCCTCCGCTTTGTGTGATAACATCAAGGCGCACGCCACAAATCGGAGGAGAAGCTCGGCCAAACACTAACATGTGTAAGCGCCAATCTATTATTATTATATTACTGGCTGTACCCTGCCACGCTTTGCTGTGGCAGATTCCTGTTACATGGATTATAAATGATTAACGAAATAAAGCATACTTGTGTGTACACAATATTTTCGTTTTTCCATTCTCTACGTAGATATCAAGGCTACCTGAGATGCCGACATGCACATAGATTTGTCCATGTGAGAAGCAATGAGCATCTAAATCTGAACCACACTTTTCCAAAGATTGAAGTTGAGCTTTAATTATTGTGATTGCAAACGCCTATAGAATTGGGGATTGAAATCTTTTAAATTGAAATGGTGTATCGGTCAGAATCATGGGAATTCAAGGGATGAGAACATGTATCTTCACCTTTGAAAGGCCTCGTTAAAATCTTTGCTTCCACTACGTTCATCAATTTCTTAACTGCGAATTGCGTGCCGTTGCAGAGTTTTGCGGATTAATATTCCGCAACATGATAATTGCCACACCTAATTTCAATTTCAGTATGTGGCAGCAAGCATTTATCTCGCCCGCTGGTGTCAATCGAGAAACTTCCGACAATGTTTCCGTAAAATCTCCTGCGAGAAATATCAATGCATTCTCTAGAGATTTTTTTATGTGCCATTGTGCACTCCTCCCAAACAATGAGTTTACATTTTTGTAATAAGTAATTTTCCCATACCGGATGATCTGGAAATATTGCACGAGGGAGTTCGATGTATGTTCAATGGCAGCATAAGACCTAAATGAGAAGTGTTTCCATCTGGTAACAATGTCGCAGATGTTCCAGACGAAGCGAGAGCTACGGCAATGCAATTTTTTCATCGAAACCTTGCCACAATCTTATAAGGAATGTTCACTTAGTTCCTCCTGACACATCCAAGAAGAATGTCATTTATGATTTGCATCTTCTCATTTGGCGCTGTAACCGCATAAGCGATTTTAGCCGAATTCGACCAAGCACGCCAGTCGCTCTCTCTGTGCCAACTTACGCCAATTGGAAATGCCACGTGAAGCCAAGTCCTTCTCTACTTGGCCTTTCCATTGCAGTGGGCACCTCCCTCTTCCTCTGCTACCACCAGCGGATTACGAGTCGAATACTTTTAGACCTGGAACGTGGTTCCTATTCGAACGACATGGCGAAGCCAGCGTTCTATCGTCTGCGGTACTCATCGTCACCAACGGGTTAGGGCCTGTAAATCTTCCGTAAGATCTTTCTCTCGAATACTCCAAGAGCTGCCCCATCGAATGTTGTCATTGTCTATTCTTCTGCGCCATATACCAGCATCGGCATGATGAGTGACTTATAGAGTGTGGTTTTTGTACGCCGAGAGAGAACTTTACTCCCGAATTGCCTACTCAGTCCAAAGGAGCACTTGTGCGCTACATTAATTCGGCATTGGATTTCGATGCCGACATTATTATCGGTGTTATGCTGGTTCCTAACAAAAAGAAATTGTCTACTTTTTCGAAATAACAACTGGCAACAGTGACGTGGGTGCCAAGGCGCGAATGCTCTGACTCTTTGTTTGATGACAGGAAGTACTTCATCTTGTACTCGTTGATCACCAAACCCAATCGCTTGCCTTCGTTATCCAACTTGGAAAAGGCAGGACAGACTTCGAGGTTTTTGTTACCGATGATATAGATGTCATTGGCATACTCCAGAAATTACACGCCCTTGTAAAATTTGTTCGTGAGTGGGTCAGTTCTGCAGCTCTTATTATCTTAACATTTGCAATGTGCGATCATAAATTCCCTTCTGCACACGCCTTAATTTATGAATGTTTAATTGGGTATATAATAGATCAGAATAATAATAATAATCATAATCTTCATAATATTATCCAACGTTTTTAAAATTGCTCTCGCTGATTTTTCGAAAAATTTTGATAAATATACGAAGCAGCTCATCTAATTTAGCAAAAACATGTCTGGAAAATGTGGGTATTGCTAGGGAGATGTGTATTTTACTAAGGTACATTCTTAGATATTTGAAAGTCGGAAAAACTCAACGCTAAAGCAGGCACATTCTCTTTACTAGCAATATATGTAGTACGTAGTAGGCTATGGCGACCCCAAGTGAAATTCTTTATGATTAAAATTTAACAATTTTATAATGTTAGAGAATGGTGACAACAATTTTAAGTTTTCATTAAGCATTTGTTAAACAGTTTTAATGGGATATATTTATGTTTTCGTTAGGTATGGTTTTTATTATTTTTTCATTTGTATCAGTAGTGTTTTATTACTTTTTTTTCATTGCGAAAGTTGTATACCAACTCCTCGTTGATATTATAATCACTTCGTTTGATAGGATTTTGTAAATTCTTTCTTCATTTAAACTGTCCGGCTTTTGGATAAGTGGAAACATAAAAAAAAAAAATATTTAGTAAAGCTTTCCCTAAAGCTAAGTGTACACGGTAGAGAAAAAACGCGAGATTTAGACAAAAATCTCGCTAGATACGTGTAAACACTCAATAGAGCTCTACGAGAGACTCACCTACAAAGTCTATGTGAGAGTTATTTAGCGAGACTTTTTCGTCATGTACACAGTCCAACGGAGCTAGATCGAAAACTCTACGACAACTCTACTCTCTATTTAGCAAGCTAAATAGACTTTTTGCTCTACGGAGACGTATAGTAAAGTCTTGACAATGAACTTCATTACAGATTGTTAAATTTTACAATGGCTACGACATTAAATCGTATATTCAAAACAAGCACACCATTTTAAGTACATTTAGAACGTAGCCAAATAATGGGAATCAAATGAGAATCATCCTCTTATTTTCATTGGTTTTTCCAATAGCCTCCGTCCTTTGCAAAGGGGCATAATTATTGTTTAAAACATTTGAGCAGGTGGTCTGGCACTCTGGCAACAGTCGTTCACTCTACAAAAAAAATTGTGTAGATTTCCTAGGTAAAAGGTAGGTTACTGATTTCCTACCTAATTATTTGCGATATTGCATGCACGATTATTCAACGAAAAGTTTTTTTTAAATTTCGGACTTTTTAGAGTGCAATATAGCAGTTGTGGTGTGCGTAAATTTACTACGAAAGTGTGTACAAGCTACAAAATACATATCTGCTATTTAATTTCACCCGTATAATTGTGTAAAGCTGCTAGCAAAAACAGTTTTTTCACACACAAAATGTGTAAACGAGAAAAATACATATTCGCCGTTTAAATTTACCAAAAAACTTTAAAAATAAACAAAAATATACTCGATATATAGTCGCATTTTTCAACAGGTTTTTTTTGAGTGTTGCTACAGTTATCTGCTGTTTTATCAGAGTGCCAGGTCACTTGCTCAACTTGGTGAATACCGACATAAATTTATATAGTAGTTTGGCTGGAACTGCTCGGAGAAACTGTTTGATGTGAGTCCATAAATACACATAGTACCGAAGAGAGAGGTTGCCATGTTTAATTTTTAGGTACATTTGTCTACTTTAAGGTACAATTTTTTTCGGCAATTAAGTACAATTTGAAAATTTAATTCTTGTCCATATTGCGAAAATGCATTTTATGACGTCAGAAAATATGTGAATGCTGTCAAATCGACGAAAGGTTAGCGCTCCGCTGATGGCGCCAACTATATTTTCTACATCGTGGTTTTTATATAAATACAAATATAATATAAACTAACTCCAGGCGAGAGGTAACTATTGTCTACCGTGTACACAGCTTGTAGAGTACGTTGAGATTTCTCTATTTTTTTCTCTAGCTAGAGTGAATATCTCCTAGAGTTGCTCTACCGTGTAAACTTAATTCAGAGAGGAGATTTTTATTTCAGTAGAACTCTAGAGATTTCTCTACCGTGTACGCTTAGCTTAACACTTTTCGTTTGTAACCAATTATGTAATATTTGACTTAGTTCCACTATTTGCAGTCTTTACATTTAGGGCATAATCCTATTGAAAATATTTCTTAATCAAGATTTTTTTCAATTGCCTTTAGTTTGGTACCGATATTGTAACATCTCATTTATTTTACCAGTTTATTTGAGTTAAATTTTCAAACAGGTGGTAACCCTCCTCAAACATATTTTCGTCTTAGGTCTTTTAAAAACTCTTTAGTTTGATACCCACATTGCAATATTTTATTTGTTTAATCAATATAACTGAGTTAAAATTTTCAAAAAGTTGGCAACCCTGCACAAAAGTATTTTCTAAAGTTTTCTTTCTTCAACCTCTTTAGTTTGATACCTATGTCA